AACGAATTATATAAATAAATAAAACATATTAAATATCAATATAAATTAATTAAAAATACGTTATGTTAATCGCGCGTTTCTTATGTGGGCATTTTCATAATTGAGTTAACAACACTTATTATTATTATGTGCAACTGATCACAAAGGATACTTGCTTAATCAATTAAATAATGATCGTCGCATTATTTTTCCTTTTTTTCCTTCCAAAATGCCATTTGGTCCCCATATATTAGTTTTGACTGTATTGATATTTATATATGGCAGGTCATCTGGTATGGCACATCACAAGATCGTTGCATTTTATAAGAGAAAAATTTTTAATTGAAGCTTGTCATAAATCCTTTGGATCTCCTGATTCCTTGTGAACGATTAGAAACTCGTCTGTGATAAATTGAATATGTTCATATGTTCAAAGTTTGGTCATTATACTATATACAATGTAAATTTACCATAAATCAATCACTAACTGTACATCATTTAAGTAATGTTTATGACAAATCCTATCACTGAATATTATATTAATAAGCACTTAAAAATATTCTGTCATCATGTTTATTGGTTTACATTAATTAAAAGATCGACAGACTGTTATTTTTTTTTATGTAGTCTGTTTTCCACAAAAAATCAAACACGTCTCTGCTTTATGAAAATCAAGAAGGATTATGATAATTTCATTATTTGTTTGAACAATTTAGAAGTTGATAATGCAGGAAAAAATTTAAATAATTTATAAAAAAAGTAAAAAGAAGTCGGGAAAATAGCCAAGCTAATAATAAATAAACAATGATGTAGCTTCAGAACATTTCAAAGAAACGCCCACACTACCAAAAACTTTTCAGAATATCTCGCCTACACCATATTAGATTTGTCGTGTATTTTCACAGAAAAACAATTGTAACAAATATAAAACTTGTACGCACATATATATATATATATTAATATATAGGAAAAATCCTAAACAATAGGACAAATATATATATATATATATAAAGAGTTAACAGTGAATGAATTAAAAATTTGTTTGACATTGGGTAATCTACATTATAAGCAACTATTAGAGACTGCTGGATAATTGAAGTATCAAAGGCAACTCAAACCATCCATCGAAATTGATGAAGATGAAGAGATGTCTGAAAAGAAAAACTATTATAAAACATTGTGTTTCTAAAAATTCCAAGTTAATTGGTGAACATTAGTGAATACTTTGAATATCTGAAGAAGGAAACTCCTGCTTCTGATGTAGGTTTTAGTACGGTTTTTTAAAAAATAAAATCCTCACTAAATTGTTACATAATTCTCAAAAGGGCATATTTGGTATTCTATATGCAATATACCGTGCTGCAACAATTGTCGTCCAAATTGTTCAAACGCTATATAATTCTGAACAGGATAATTTCAACGTAATTTTTAGTTATTTTTGTAAATAATAAATTTTTTATTATGTAAATAAACTTAAAATAGTATCTATTGTGACATTGGGTAAATAAACTTTCATTGGATTGCTCAAAATGGCCGTGCAAATTTTATTGGCCAAATTCAGCATCCTAAATCGGTTGTTATTATTGATGGTTTCTTGAACAATTTAAATTGAATCAACATTTACCAAAATACCATCCATGCACGATTCTGTAAGAATATTAATATATAAATTATAGGTCAATAACAAAAAAATATGGTTTGACAGATTTAATCGCCTGCAATTGGCTGATTAGCGAAATTTCTTCCAAATTGGTAATTTTTTATAATTTCATGACCAGGCTACGGCAATAACCTATCTATATACTGTAGTTATCAATTTGTATTTATTATCTATCTCATTTAAATAAATTAATGAATAATCTAAATATAGATAACATATAAAAAATGAATTCCTAAACACATGCAAATTATCACGTATATTACGTGCTATAAAAAATCTCAAGTATAATAATAAGAATCTAAATTTATTGCAGTATATTAATATATAATATTTGTTATTAATTATTAATGTAATAAAAACCAGGGATGTAATATTCAGTCGTTCCCAAACATTAGAACAATATTAAAAAAAAATCGAATGATTTGACGTCTGCAGATCACTAAAATATAATAGGCAAAACTCAGTGATACTTAAGCAAGTATAACAGGTTTAAAGTTTATTTATATTAAAAAAAAAATAATTATCTCCCAAGCAATACCGCAGCGTTTTATTATGATAAATTGCGCTAATTCTAAAGGGCCAATTAAAAGATAACAGTGAATCGTAGAATGGCACGTCTTCAAGGTAGTATTAGATCGATTACAACACACTTCGTGCAATGGGTACAATTATTCAAGGTTATTTAATGTAAAAATTGTACTTGTATACCTTTTGGGTTGGGCGTGCAGAACTTATAATTGTAATTACTGTTCTGGTTGCTATAATTTGTAATATACTCGCTGTATGAAGTGCACGTATTGTGCCTGCATATATCCTGTTTCTTGTAAAATTCAATTTAATTTTGTACTCCTAAATAAAAAGCCTTATATGTATGTTAATATTATTTGTTTGTATAAATAAACCATTTAGAAAGAAATAACATTAAATAACGATACAGCTCTTCTTATTAATATGAACTCAAAAAAATCCATGTATTACATTACAAAAATCCTAAACTATATATAAAAGAAAAATTTTTTTTATCAAATTTTAAAATCATTCGTTCTTTTTTTTTATTTATTCAACAAGTTTCTATAATTCTGATCCTTGTGATAAACAATATAAAGAATTACAT